ATCATTTCCTTAGACCATGAGATTGTGCAACTCCCGGATACCGTAGGAATGCTTTGGGTGTACCAAATGTCACAACGTAACTGGGTGGCTATAAAGGTGCACTACAGGTATCTCCGAAAGTGTCTGTTGGGTTGGCACGAATCGAGACTGGGATTTGTCACTCCGGTTGACGGAGAGGTATCTCTGGGCCCACTCGGTAGGACATCATCATAATGTGCACAATGTGACCAAGGGGTTGATCACGGGATGATGTATTACGGAACGAGTAAAGAGACTTGCTAGTAATGAGATTGAACAAGGTATCGGCATACCGACGATCGAATCTCGGGCAAGTACAATACCGCTAGACAAAGGGAATTGTATACGGGATTGATTGAGTCCTTGAAATCGTGGTTCATCCAATGAGATCATCGTGGAACATGTAGGAGCCAACATGGGTATCCAGATCCCGCTGTTGGTTATTGACCGGAGAACGTCTCGGTCATGTCTGCATGGTTCCCGAACCCGTAGGGTCTACACACTTAAGGTTCGATGACGCTAGGGTTATAAAGAAAGTTTGTATGTGGTTACCGAATGTTGTTCGGAGTCCCGGATGAGATCTCGGATGTCACGAGGAGTTCCGGAGTGGTCCGGAGGTAAAGATTTATATATGGGTAGTCCTGTTTTGGTCACCGGAAAAGTTTCGGGTTTTATACGTAACGTACCGGGACCAACAGGAGGGTCCCGGGGGTCCACCAAGTGGGGCCACCGGCCCCGGAGGGCTGCATGGGCCAAGTGTGGGAGGGGACCAGCCCCAGGTGGGCTGGTGCGCCCCCCCACAAGGGCCCAAGGCGCCTAGGGTTTTGGGGAGGGGGCGCACCCACCTAACTTGGGGGGCAAGTTTCCCCTCTTCACCCCTTGGCCGCCCCCCCAGATGGGATCTTGGGCTGGCCGCCGCCCCTAGGGTGGAACCCTAGGTGGGGGCGCAGCCCCCCCTCTCCCCCTATATATACTTGAGGTTTTTTGGGGCTGCTAACACATGAGTTCCACCCTTGCCCCTGGCGCAACCCTCTCCCTCCCCAACACCTCCTCCTCCTCCGTAGTGTTTGGCGAAGCCCTGCCGGAGAACTGCAAGCTCCACCACCATGCCGTCGTGCTGCCGGAGCTCTCCCTCAACTTCTCCTCTCCCCTTGCTGGATCAAGAAGGAGGAGACATCCCCGGGCTGTACGTGTGTTGAACGCGGAGGTGGCGTCCGTTCGGCACTAGGATCTCCGGTGATTTGGATCACGATGAGTACGACTCCTTCAACCCCGTTCTCTTGAACGCTTCCGCTTAGCGATCTACAAGGGTATGTAGATGCACTCTCCTTCCCTCGTTGCTGGTTTCTCCATAGATAGATCTTGGTGACACGTAGGAAAATTTTGAATTTCTGCTACGTTCCCCAACATACCCAACATGTGGAAGCTCTCATCAGCAACCAACACATTATCTGTGATAAGACGTCTAGGGACAAACACATTTTCTATGGGACTAACAATTTCAGGATGAAAAACTTTGAAACGAGCTGCTAGCATTTCAAGATTACCTTATATACCACATTGCATGAGCTAATCGGTCTCAATTGAGTAACTTTCTCTAATGATTTTACCTTTGGAATCATAACAATGACAGTGTTATTCTAACCAATTGGAATCTTACATGTATTTACTGCGTGTAAGATATCTTCAATTAGATCATCCCCTAGCATTGGTCAAAACCTTTTTATAGAAAACCATGTGTAATCCATCCAGGCCAGGAGCTTTGAGATCTCCAATATCAAATAATGCCTTCTTACACTACTAGGGAAAAGCCTAGTAGTGACGCGGGTAAACTACTAGTAGTAGCATGGGTGCCCGTGCTACTACTAGCGCGCTATAGCTAACTGGGTAGTAGTAGCGCGGGTGCCACCCCGCGCTACTGCTACGCCGCGCTACTACTAATTATCTATAGCGCGTGTCTGGGACGCACACTAATACTATTAATTTTAATTTAAAAAAAAATTCTTCTGCGTATTTATGCAGTATACAGATTTTCTCGATCCCGTGCGTGCTGCCAGTCGTGCCGATGGTTCGATCCAGCAATTGCAGAGGTCATCGGAGGCAAAGACGGGTAGCAGCAAACCAGATCTGGTGGCGGCTGCTGGAGAGGGACCGAATCCAGGGCAGAGCACGACGAGGGTATGGGGCCCCTCTTTTCGGCCAAGGCAGATAGCTCCTGGACGTCCATGGTGACGACTTGCGCAGGCATGGCCATGGGAGGGTGAGTCAAACTAGAGGGAGAGAGGAAAAAAGAGAAACGATGGAGAGAGAAAGGAGATGGAGGGAGTAGCGGGGCTGGTCGCCGGTGGCGAGGTGCTCTGGCGTGGTGGCATGGAGGCGCGGGAGAAGGCCGGCGAGCTCCTGGATGCCGGCGGCATGAGGCGGTGGTCTCCTTGGGCGCCATGGAGGAGGAGGCGCGCATGGGTAGGAGCACCATGGGAGAGCCTAGGGAGAGAGGGGGAGAGGGACATGAGAGTGGAGGGATACGGGGGAGGAGATGGGGATTTCCGGGCTGTTAAAAACCCTCTACTTAGTAAGCATGGGGTATACCACACGCTACTCCTATGGCCCGTCCGGGGGGGGGGGGCACGGTGGGGACCACTTAGTAGCAACACGGGGTTCATACCCCGCGCTACTACTATCAACTTAATAGCAGTGTGGAATCCCACACTACTACTATGGCCCCTCCCGGGACACGGTGTGGACCACTTAGTAGCAGCGTGGGGTTTATACCCCCTGCTACTAATAATTAGCTGTAGCGCGTGCTAGGTAACCAGTAAGTGGTTACCTATAGGCTATAGTCATGGTTTTCCTAGTAGTGTTAACATCTTCTACGGTGAAAGGAGCCAATAAAGCATCGTTCATGTTATGTGTCACACACCGCTTCACTCATGATAGCACAATAGGATATGGCTTCACCCGTGATAGCACAATAGGATATGGCTATGGAACTTCTGAAGAAAATAGATTAGACTCAACAATATGGTCTTTTAGTTCATCTGTACCTTCAAGCAAGAAAACTTGAGAAAGAAAGAAACGTACTATTCGTGATCGATCACTTGTCCCTTATAGGCTAACCTCATGGTGCTCATCTTTGTCTTCACTTGACAAAGTATTATGGCAGGGTTGAACACTCTGAAACATGGGTGCATCTGGAGAGTGGGTGATGGACATAAAATCAATATATGGGATGGCCCATGGATTCCTGGTTCGTGTAACAGAAAAGTTGTTACTGTATCATATTAAAAGTAAATGACTTGATTGATCCTAGTACTAAGCCATGGGATGACGAATTGGAGAGGCAAACCTTCTGGCAGGTGTATGTTCACTGAATCTTAGCAGTACCTCTTCCAAATTATGATATGGTTGACTTTGTTTCATGGGGTATGACAAAAAAATTCAGGCTTTGTGTGAAATCATCATATTATGTCGAGTGGGATCACAGATTTGGGGGCAACCTATGTCAACAAAATGGACAAGAAACAATGCAGGTCGGAAGTGTGTGGCAATTAAATTGGAGTTTGGACTGTCCGGTAAAGGTAAAAATATTTGTTTGGAAAACTCTTCATGGAACTTTACCTTGTGGCATTAATCTTTCAAACAGACATGTTAAGGTGTCACCAAAATGCTCTGCTTGCATAACAGGGGTTGATACTACTTTTACACGCATTGTTTCAGTGTCCAGCAACTATGGAAGTTGGGAAGGAACTTGGGCTAGATAACATTATTAGTATGCATGTCTAATTGATAGAGCAGCAGAATGTGTGTTGGGTATCTCCTGGAGTTGCCAGAATAGGAGACATTTGTGCTAGGGCAAAGGAAAATGCATGAAATAATACTTATCACTTGTTGGTACCAATGGTGGGAGAGAAGGAAGCTCCGCCATGACAAGAAAATTTCAAAAATGCAGGGAACTGGAAAATTGACTTCTGTTACCACGCGCTCTCTGTTGAAGCTACTGTGTTGAGATATGGTCTTTGCCTAGCACAAAACAATCGGTTGCAACAAGGTTATTGTCAATTCACATAATATTGAGGTTATCAGTACGATGAATGAAGGAGGGCGATCTGCAGGTCCATCGGCAACAATCTTTGATGATTGCTATCATATTATCGCGTGCAGCTTCTCTTATACCTCATTTGTGCACTGTCCTAGGGAGGCTAATTATGTTGCTCGTGAATTAGTGAATTTGGCTAAGGCCTGTCTTGTAATAGTTTTTTTTGTTGAGCCTCCTAGTGAGTTCATCCCTCTCTTATTAAGTGATGTAATCTTGGTTGAATCGTAAATAAAGAGATTGATGATTTAATAAAAAAGATAGCTCCTCCTACCGATTCAGTCATTAGGAGAGAATGCTGCTTCATTTGTGACATGTTTTACTTGTTCTTGCCTCGAGGTGCGGCGAAGACTTTGAAGTGACTTTTGAATTTTAAGAAGAAAAAAAATCATTTCTTTCTGGCACAAAAGGTAGATGAATTTGCTTTTTGTGGTCCACTCGGGGATTTGGACAAGCCAAAGGGGAATGATTTTTACATCATTATGGATTCCACACGGGTGAATTAATTTTAAATTTTGTTTTGAGAGGGAGCAGAAAGGGTAGACACAAATCTACAGCCGAAGTTTTTTTTTTGCGTAGATATTTTCTGGGGGATTCCTCTTTTCTTTGAGTAAATGATAGAGTCCACAACACAGCGTGGGCTTTAAACGTCCATCTCCAGCCCAAGAGACCACAGCGTCAGTTTCATCCCGCATCCCGCATCCCGCATCCCGCGTCAGTTTCACTTTCAACATCCCCGCACAGCAGTCTACTGCTGGCATCCCGCGTCAGTTTCACTTTCAGCATCCCCGCACCGCAGTCTACTGCTGGCACCCCACTTCAGTTTCAGTTTCAACATCCCCGCCCCGCACCGCATCGCTCGATCCCGCATCGGCGACGAGAGGGCGAGATGCCGGCCAGCAGCCACCCGTCGTCGCCGGCGTCCCCGCTGGAGGACGGCAACCTGCTACGCGAGATCCTTCTCCGCCTTCCCCCGGATCCCTCCTCGCTCCCGCGCGCATCCCTCGCTTGCACGCGCTGGCGCGACCACGTCGCCGACCCGGGATTCCGCCGCCGCTTCCGCCTCCACCACCGCCGCAACCCTCCCCTCCTCGGCTTCTTCGACGGGTGCGGAAGCCTGGACTTCCTGCCGACGCTGGAGGCACCCGACCGCGTCGCTCCCGAGCGCTTCTCCTTGAAGCACGACGAGGGCGACGGCGTTCGCAGGCCGCTCGGATGCCGCCATGGACTGATGCTCATCTTGGTCCCGAAGCCTCTCCAGGTAATCGTGTGGGACCCCGTCACCGGCGACCTGCACCGCCTCGACGTTCCGCCAGGGCTGACGACGAATGAGTGCTATGAGAGCGTGATCAATGGGGCGGTGCTTCGCACTGCCTCCGAAGACGCCAAGCACTTCCAGGTGGTCATGGTGGCGGCAGACGGCGACGAGGTGCAAAACCGACGAGCAGTCGCCTGCGTCTACTCGTCGGAGACCGGCGCATGGGGAAGGTTCATCACAACACCCATTCCATACGATGCTGATGCTCATGCGAGCTGTTTATTTCGGAGGTTTTCCACCAGCATTTACATAGATCATGCTGTGCTGGCTGGAGATTCCCTTTACTGGCAGCTCATTGGGAATTACGAAGGAATTCTCCAGTTTGATTTGGAGAGGCAGAGGCTGGATGTAATGCCGGTGCCGGTGCCTATCTATAGCAAGGGCAACTACTTCAAGCTTATGCCGGCCGAGGGTGGTGGTGGGATAGGTTTCCTGTTCATGTTCAATTCAAACTACATTGCCCAATTATGGAGGAGGAAGACCGATTCCGATGGTGTTGCCTCATGGGTGATTGCAAGATCTATCGAACTCGACAAGGTACTTTCGCTCAATTCAGAGAAGGAGGAGAACATGAGGATAGTAGGGTTTGCAGAGGACAACAACGTGGTACTCGTGGATATGCTGAGTGGATTCTTTATGATCCAACTCGACTCACTGCTGTTCAAGAAGCTTCCCCGACCCAAGACGGTGTCCTCCCTTCATGATTTCCCCCTTCATGCATTAGAAAGCGTCTACACTGCTGGTACGTAATAGCTTTGCTTCACACCGTACGTATATAAGTATAAAAGAAGAAAGTTAGTTTTCGATCATAGGTTGATGGAAATACTGTTGTTGAAGTAGTCTCGCAACAGTACTTCTTTCTTTTGTTGCTTGATGATGGCATCTTCAACATATATATTGTGATGATGCTTTGTGGTTCTCGGGTTCGATCTGATGCTTGCATGGTGGCCTTCTATGTATAATTATGATCTCGGAAGCAGTATCCTCTGTATTTCAAAGGAAGCGCGGGAAAAAACCCTGCCTATTTTGCGGGAAAGAAGGGCGTAGGAGGGTTATTAATGCTGTACGGACGAAACTAACCTCACTTATACAGTTACCCTTTTTGAAACCGGCCCGCATTGAATCTCCTCCCATACAAACCCATCGTCCCTTTGTCTTCCGCCTACACACGCGTCACACGATCCGCGCGTGAGAAACAGAGGCCCACTTTCCCTTAATCGTCCTGCTCAGGATTAAATATGTGAAAAAAATCCATACACAATGAAACAATACCTTTTGTTGCCAGATGGTGCGCGCATTTCTGTAATTTTTGTGGTTCAAGTCAGACCTAGCAAATTGTATTTATCACTTTATTATATGAAACATCCATACAATATGACAAGTCAAAGCTCTAAGTTCTGCTAGCGCGCAGCCCTTGTACAGTTTTACTTTAGTTTTCTCTTCTTCTCTTCAGTTTTCTTTTCTTTTTGTTTTTCTGAGTTTCAGCCTCTTGTATTTTTGTGTCATCTTGGCGTTTCATTCTAATGCACAACGACACACATTTGGGTGAGCGTTCGAGAGAAAAAAACAATTGATACCTTTTGTTTTCTTTTTTTGCAAAGAAAAACAATGGATCGGATACCTACCTATGCCTACTAGTCAAGTCAGGATATTTGCCTGCGACAGTTGCCAAATTGTATTGTTCTGAAACCAGTGAAAAATAGCACGTTTACTAGTACTTAGGCTGAATGAGAAACGACTTAGACTTTTTAGGTAGGTACAATTCCAATCGAGATTTTAGTCCTTACTGCAAAAGAGGAGAGGTGCCATCCGTAGGAGAGTCCTGTTTTTCTTTTCTTTGTGTCTGAGCATGTTTCTGCCGGGACACACACCTGTCCTGTTCACCTTTTTTTAGCCTGATGAGTCCTAGTTGGTTGCTGCATGATTGTGTTGGATCGCCTTTTTTTGTTCAATGAGTCTTAATTGGTTGTTGAAGGATTTAGATGATCAACATTCCTAGATCACTGATCAACATTCCTAGATCAATTAAAGGATTTTGATTTCTAGTAGATCTCCCATGTTGTTGCGTGGACAAGGCTTGGAGATCAAGTTGGCAGGCTGTGCGTTACGCTATATCATGGCCTCATGGGCAGGCTTTGTCCATGTAAGGTGTTGAATTTCGAGTTCAGTAGAAAAGCAGAAAATGCCACAATGGTTAGGTGGCACCAAATCCTGTGGTTCTTACTTTCCTGAGAGGGGAACAGAGAGTTGCTAGTTTGAACATTGATCTGATCAATCTGGGCGTCAGCTCAGGTTTCTTGCATCTTGTTTGATCCGAAGTGTCTGCTGCCACTATAGTCCATCGTTGCTTCGTCGAGCCCTGCAAATGATTGTGTGCCAACACTCTCGCATTAGTGCCTTACTAGTTTGTGCCTCATAATTAATAACAAGAATCGTATAAGGTGGCTGCAGTTTTTTCCTCAAGGTAAGATAATATAACAGTTGGAAGTTGAAGACAACTACATGAAAACTAGCTTGAACCAACTGAAGTATCAAATAGGTAGCTCAATCTGGACACTGGAAGCTGAAAGCTAGTTCTGTTCCTTCCATTCAATATTAATATCTCTGCTGATCTTGCTACTATTCTCAAATCAATATTAATAAAATTGTTTGAATTTACTAGTTAACTGTTCCTTTTATCACTTTTAGGACATCCCATGATGCAGGCGAGTAGCAAGTCCATTTGTACCACGGAAAACTAATAGATTGAGTTTATTTCATTTTCCCGGCTAAATTAATTTGAAGACCAAAATAGTCCCGATCACTATCGTTGCTAGAGTTATTAGTATGATATTTTCAGGCTAACTTTATTTGAAGATAATCTAAATCTTAATATTCTTGATAATTTATGTTGGTAGGAATTTTTTTTAAACTAAATCTGTTGCTATGATTTATTAGTATGATTATATTATATCTACATATGGCGTGGAATGAGCTCAAAAGTTACGGATACTTTGTCTCTTCTTACCGGCTTATAGTTTGAGTGTGCATCTTCATTCTTACGGCAGTAATAACTTTGCACTGCCTTTATTTATGTATTCCTAATGTTGTATCAAAATTGATTCCTTTTTTGAACTACAATTGTTTATCTAAATATCTGTTGATGCTTCCCCATATCTATGTGGCTTTTCATTGGAATGTCATTGGTTGTTCGACTTCTTATGCTTGCAGAAACACGCATTGGTGGTGGACATGATGGAGCTGATCTTTTGCCCAATACATAAGATGATTAGATGTGCTATGTGGTGTACCGGTCGAGCAGGTAGTCTTATCTTCTGAATTATGTTAAGCTATCTGAACTATTCTTAACAGACAAATCGCTGTGATTTTACTGTCATTTCTCAAGTACTAAATTGCAAGAGAGGACCCTTTTAAGATTTTCTCTACAACTCTGTGCTTAGCTGTTCCCACCTGGCCATCTTCTATCATGCTTTGATGCCAGGCTAAATATTTAATCTTTTATCCAAACTCTGCTTTCTCATTCGTTCCTCATTAGCTCTTCATTCTCTTCATGATGCATTTTAATTGCCGATCTTCCAACTTTCTGTTGGTGGGCCCTTTTCCTTCTAGCCCCCCAGTATTGGTGACTTAGGACCGTTCCTCATTCCCTATGTGTGCATATGATAGTGCCTGCTCAGACTGTTCATCATGTCAACTGTTAACTGTTATTCGCCAAACTTGCATATATATGTAACTATCCATTAGCCACTTATTTAATCTGGCTGGTCAAACTATGGGTAGTATGCTTTGTGTGGACTATAATTTCTTCAGTTTTTTCCATTATTGATGTTTAATGCTTCATACTATGAAACACATGATCAAAATGGCATGACTAGATTCACCATAAAAAGCTTATTTATCACTAATGCCAGTTTTTTTTTTTGCTTTTACTGGCATATTATCACTAAAGTAGTGGTGAAAGTATTGCTTGATGACGTGGAGAGTACAAAATAACAATCCTTTTGGACCGAAGGAAGTCTCAGTTATAGTATGCATGATCTCACTTATATGTACTCTGAGAATTTGATGAAAATCAATTTGTTAGTGACTAGCTAGTTGTACATTCCTAAAAAGTACTCCCTCTGTAAACTAATATAAGAGCATTTAGATCACTATTTTAGTATTCTAAACGCTCTTATATTAGTTTACAGAGGGAGTATGCCTTAGAGCTAGAACCAGATGTACTGCTACACCAGATTTTCATTAGATTCTACCCCATGAGCCTCTGCACACCAGATGTACTGCTACTACACTACGTATTGCCTTTTGTTATTCTCTGTTTCAAGTGTTGATTTTGTCTAACAATGGTGCGATGGTTTGACTCTGGAGCTTATGACACAATTTCCACAATTGTGAAGCCATTGTTTTCTGGTTGAGTCATGGAAGAATTAGGAGAATAATCCCAACAACTTTTCATGAATGTGTAGTACAAGGTTTTATGTTTACTGATGATATTACTTGCTCCACAGGTATCTACAATTACATTCTGGTGTCTCAGATGCAAAAATGGGTTGTCAAGTGTAGTTTCTTCCATTTGTATGCTCGACGTGGAGATCGAACCCAGCTCTTAACTCTGAACTGAACTTTCTTGGATATGATTATCTTCCATGTTGTATCAGCAGGGAGGGATTTGGACATCGGATTTCATGTATGTGTGTGTTTGTTGAATTTCTACCTGGTTTCGAACTCAATATTTGGCGACTTAATTTGCTTAGTTGTGACTGATGAATGTTGAATCCCATCAATGTGACCTGGGAGTTGGAAGATGGATCCTGTATGTTGGAATTAATGCAACCGCTTTCTTTGTGATGATGCGTTTCTACCGAGATTGATATGACTTGCTTGCTGCATTTCTACTAAGATTGATTATCTTTCAGCTTGCAGATTTTATACTAGGAGTAGCATTTAGCAAGCTGTGGGTTGCCGCCTGCTAATTCGTATCTAGCAAACAGTTTATATACATTAGCCCAAGTGCCCGTTGTGTTTCTTATTGCTCCAAGGTTATCTATTCTCTATTGACATTTAGCTACAACTTTAATGCAACTTACCGCATTATCTGGAGCTCTGCTGTCTCCACGCTGGAGGAGGCCACCGATGCCTACCTCATCGCCTTCTTCAAGGACAACCAGCTTGCCCGCCGCATCATACACTAGTGGAAAAAAGGCCTTTGGTCGCGGTTCGCAACTGCCATTAGTCGCGGTTGCGCAACCGCGACCGACCGGGCGCGACTAAAGGCCCCCCCCTTTAGTCGCGGTTGCTTAAGAACCGCGACTAAAGGCCCGTCCACGTGGGCGCCAGGTGGCCGTCGGGGCGGAGGACCTTTAGTCGCGGTTCTTCTGGCCAACCGCGACTAAAGGCCGCCGCAGGTTTAGGGTTTTAGCCCCCCCTAAACCTCCCCCCTTAAACCTGTTTTCTGTTTAATTTGTATTGTTTTATTTCTTTTGTGCTTTATTTTAATTTTGAAGGAGTTTCATATATTCTACGGTACTACATACATGCATATGAATGTACAATTTCAAATAAATTTGAAATTAGAACCGAAAAGAATTCAAGAGGAATATACAATATATATTCAATATCATCGGATGACCATATACAATTTTGAACAAGTTTCCATACATGATTTAATGCATATAAAGTTCTACGTCCTCGTAATAGTGTTCTCCTTTAGGATGGAGGACTTCCCTGCTGAACCATCCAGCTAGTTCCTCTTGAAGTGGTCGGAAGCGAGCTTCTGGACTAAGCATCCACCGGAGGTTATTCCTCTTAGCATTGGTATCACTCGGAACCCGCTCAGAGGTGTATCTCCGGATCATCTCACAGACATAGTATCCACAT